TAGTTTCTACTTGATTTAGGACCCGGGTCCATATATACATGTGTGTGTGTATCATCTATATGTTTGTATATCTATATGTGTGTATATCTATATGTATCAGAAGTAGATAATAGGTCTTTCGGATTGCGGATTGCGGATGTATACGAGGAAACGATTTCGCACGATGCTAGGCTTATGTACTGTGTACGATTTGAGCTCAAGTTGGTTGAGTTACGCGTAGTAAATCGTAGGTATTCTAAGGCTAGTAAATGACGAATTTCCCTTGTTTATTGTAGTCACACTCCTTCCCTATTATCTACTTCTGATGTATATATATATATCTTAATCCTACAATATGTAGTCATCGGGTGTAAAAAACCAGCCGTTATGTAGACAGATTCGTTAGGTAGACATATTAATTTTGCTGTCTACCTAATGTTTAGCATGCTATAACTTCGTTTTCTTCATGAAATTTATAATTATGTCGTGTTTATCTAGTAGAGGTGTCCTGTGACTTGTAATATATTTAAATATGATAAAGCTTAAATGTTGTTAAATGTGTGAACATATTTTCTAAAAGTGTCATATATACGTCCGTATATAAAATCAGTCTTTAAGTAGACGGTCAGTAGCCTCAAGAAGTTAAGAAGCCTTCGCCGTTTTGTATGACACCTGTAAACATACGATCTAACCCGTGTTAATTACCGTTACCCGTACAACTGTCATAAAAGCGCTCCGGACCCCATCTTATATAGCCTTCAGCCCAGCGTGGTTTTGCACACGAATTGTGCACGTGGTCAAGGGCTGAAACTTCTGACCTCCACGCCAGCAAAGGTGACTCCTATACCTGCTATCTTTATTTTCTATTGCTGTTAAGTTATAGCTAGTGCTAAAGTTTGGCTTCTATAATGTAGGTCAAGCAGCAACGCAGCAGATGTGCGTTGCAGTCGCTTTGTGTAGACTTGTTAGCAGCGCGTAGGTACGCGCACGCAGTGAGTGTTATAACAACTCCTGCCTCGATGGCTGTTATAAAGTTGTATTAAACGTATTCTCTTTATCTGTTATTGTTCTTCCGACAAGACATAACAATTGTGACAACGTTGCTATGAAAGGAAAATGATATAATTTGGGCCTGATTTTGCACATTTTTCCTGTTTCTGAATGTGAAACAATACAATAAATAAATTAACCCACTGTTTTAATACTACGTGTATATCATTTAAAACTAAGCGTATGAGGAAATAAAGATGTATTTAAAGTTTCTATCTATCTATATTTACATAATTTTATAACTTTTAAACGTTGTATACGCCCGCTCATGGTTGTTATAGACTGAGATATCGTCCCGTACTTTCGGCAACTTCTTGTTTTCTCTCACAACAATTATTCATAATTACACATAGTATACCAACCTCGACAGCTTTATTTCTAGCAATGTACTTTTCGTTTGTGTATACTGGCTAACGCTCCATTAGGAGTGTTCCCAACTTTGATATCATTAATGATTAATGATTAATGATTGATAACCCTAACCCTAACCCAAATTAAATGACATTAAACCCACAAACTGAATATAATGACTATGACCATTAGTATATATATAAGTATTTGATGTCGATTGTTGCAGCACAAAATGGCCATTTATGTGGTATTCACAAGAACGTTTATTGTCGTCAGAATTTTTATATTTCGTGGCAATATTGAACTATAATTTCATAATTTATTGAATTTATTCAAATATAATTCAAAATTATAATTTATTAATTATCAATCATAATATTAATAACTAATATGGTACACCCGACTTCGGCCAGCGTGCGTACCCTATAATGAGCTGAGGCGTTGAAACTGGCATTTTTATACAGAGGTAACTGAAACGCAAACCGCAATAACAGTGTATTGGCCCCCAGTTATAGCACTACAAGAACAAAAATATATAATTTATGTTGAAATTACTGCTTATTTCTATTGCTGTTTAATTATAGTTTAGTGCTAAGGTTGGCTTTTAGAAGCACATCTATAGCAGCACGAACGCAAGCGGGTCATTATACCGCGTTGTTTCCTTTATAAGTTTATTAATACGTATTTTCTTTATCAGTGTATTGGTTTTTTTCCCGACAAGGCGTATGAGAAATAGAACTGTTGTTAAACGGTTTCTCAGATCCTACGTACGTTACATAACTGCGAAGAGAGTGAGAGAGCGTACGACGCGTGCCTTAAATCGGCTTAGTAGGATGATAAGTAAAGAGAGATTTACGATAGATGAAGAGTCGCCATAAGCCGAGCAAGGAGATAGGGGAGAGAGATAGATGAGAGAGGAGAGAGAGAGCGAGAGAGAAGAGAGAGAGAGAGATGAGAGAGAGAGAGAGAAGAAAAGAGGGAGAGTAGCGTGCGCGCGAGAGAGAGTGAGTGAGAGCGAGAGAAGTGACGTGAGAACAAGAGAGGAGGACGAGAGAGAGAGAGAGAGAGAGAGAGAGAGAAATGAAGAGAGAGAGTGAGCAAGAGGAGAGAGAGAGAGAGAGAGAGAGAGAGAGAGAGAAGAGAGAAGAGCACCGAGAGAGTGAGAGGAGAAAGAGAAAGAGAGAGAGAAGAGAGAGACCGAGAGAGAGAGAGAGGACGCAAGAGGAGGAGGAGAGAGAGAGAGGAGAGAGATGAGAGAGCAGAAAGCGAGAAGCGAGAGAGAGATAAGGGAGAAAGAAGAGAGAGAGCGAGAGAGAGAAAAGAGAGAGGAAGAGATGAGAGAGAGAGAGAGAGAGAGAGAGAGAGAGAGAGGAGAGAGAGAGGAGAGAGAAAGACGCGATAGAGAATTGACGAGAGAAAGCAGCGAAACCGAGAGAGAGATCGGGAGAGAGAGAGACGAGAGAGAGCGAGAGAGCAGAGTAGTGAGAGAGAGAGGAGAGAAAGAGCACGAGAAGAGAGAGTAGAGAGAGAGCCGAGAGATTGAGAGAGAAAAGAGCGAGAGCTGAGAGAGAGAGATAGAGAGAGAGAGAGGCGAGAGAGAGAAGAAAGATGAAGAGAGAACGAGGAGGAAGAGAGAGAGAGAGAGAGCGTAGAGACAGACCGGAGAGAAGAGAGATGAGAAGGAGAGAGAGACCGAAGAGAGGAGAGAAGAGAGAGAGAGAGAGAGCGAATGAGAAAGAGACACCGCTCAGAGAAAAGGGGCACGAGGGAGATAGAGAAAGCGAGATAGGGCGGATCCAAGATTGTGAGGAAGGAGGTGCAGGCACTTTGCTCAAAAAAGGAGCACTGTGTTGTCTGGGGCAAAGCCCCCAAAAAAAAATTTGAGATCTTAGTTTAAACAAATTCATTAATCTTGCAACAAATAGTATACCATATTATTGACGGTTTTTTGGTCACATGTAAGTTAATAATCGAGCTCTCTGTGGCGTACTGATTGAAATGCGTGCATTTGGCCGAATATTATGTAACTCATCCAGATGGCATCTATACAGGCGGAGCTCCGACAGGTGGCGGCGCATGCTGCCATTCGGCGCCATAAGTGACCTACATAAGGTGGTATTTGACTTCAACAATCCATTTTTAAGCAAAGGCAGCGGTTAGTGTCTTTGGACCTAGGATTTCCCGTTTTGGATTGGAGGCAGTGACGTATGTGTGTTAGCAGCTCCGAACTCGCTGGGCTTGAACGCAATATATATAGTTCTAAGAAAAACGAGGGAGTTGAGTGTGGGTCCGACTGAGTGAAATACTTTGTCAGAGGGGTACAGGGGCGAGCAGGCAAAACGATAGCCATTTTTTTAATAGCAAGCTTTTGGAACAAAGGGCGACTTTGCGTGGAAGGGGGGGGGGTGACGCACCCCCGTGC